TTGATTTTTCCGTTTTATATGAATTCCTTGTTGTACGAGTCACTTAGATTTTACAAATACGTGAGCCATTCTCAGCCCGGCACACATATTTGTAAAATCTAAGTGACTCATACAACAAGGAATTCATATAAAACAGAATAATCAACAGTGTTATAGGGGGGATCGACTGTATCTAATCGGACAGTTTCAGCTTGGTGAGAATTGTACAGTGTTCCAGGCTGAGCTCTTCACTATCAGCATGGCTGCTTCTTGGGCTGATCAGTATCATCGTAATAAAAACATCACCATTACCACGGACAGCACCTCTGCTCTGGCTTTACTTCAATCTCAGAACTTTCATCCCATAGCAAACAATATCCAGGAATCTATTAACAATTCTTCCTGCAACTTCTATCTCAATTGGACTAGAGCACACCACAAGGCAATGAAAAGGCGAATGCCCATACTAAAAAAGCCTCATCAAACCAGCACCTACTTATTGCCTACAACAAAATTAATCTTAAAACTATCAAGAGCATCCTGTGGCGGGACTTAGTCACCTCTTGGCAGGGCGAGTGGAACAACAAAACTATCACTCATGATTTCATACCCAACATCAAAGACTTTCTCACCTGCAAGTGGTATACTCCTTGCCACAGTACTACACAAATGTTCACCAACCATGGTAGGTTCTTTGCCTACCTTGATAGGTTTAAGAACACCAACAGGCCTGAGTGCAACGTCTGCGGTACTTCCAACAGTAGTGAACACTACATCCTTCACTGTCCCATGTTGGACTTTGAACGTCTACATCTTAGGATTCTCACTGAGGCCCATGATTACAGCTGGCCTCCTCAAAGCCTCAACTGTTTTCTCAAACATAAGGATACATACGCTGCCCTCATGCAACTGGTTTCTATGTATTTTAAAAGAACTACTGTTCCAGCTTTTCCTCAACGATCTGTCATTGCTATTGTACACTGACACCCTCTCTCTCAACTGTGGAGCCTTATCCCTGTTTGCCTTTGTACATGCATTTTTCTCTCTGCATCCTGCTGCACAGGGCTTGCACACCCACTGTTTCATTTATCCTACTGACTGTACGGGTTTGCAATGTTCGTATATATGTGCTGTCGCTTGCCTTCTTTTGTTTGATTAATGTTGTCTCTGTACTTATTTTTATTATATTTTGTATTACCATCACTGTAACCCATTTATACTGCTCTTTTTTTTATGTATGTATGTGAATGGTTATGTTTTACGGCACTGGCTATGTACCTATGGTATGTTACAAATAAAAAACCGAACTGAACTGTATCTAATCTCTCTGTGTGCTACTTATCTGATAACTGGTAAAAAAAAAAAAAAAAAGGAAAATGTAAAAAAACCATTACCATAAAATATGTATTTTTATAACCACCACCAATCAGACATATTTTCTATCTACTTTTATGATGGAAACAGAAGCAGAAGCAGATGATTAGAGGCCAGAAGGACCACTCCCCATCAGCAATTTTATTAAATTGTTTAATGACAAAGAAACTTGATTAAGTAATTATTACTTAGTATTTTTTTTATAATCTAAATTGCTGAATTTAGATTATAAAAGACAGGATACCTTTTCTGCTAACAACAGAATCTTTAGTTTTCTCTTGTTCACCATTTCTATCCACTTCAGAAAAATAATTAATGCATTGAGTGACTCAAACTTTCAAAATGAAACTCAAACTTCACAGCAAAATTTATGTAGTGTGAATGTTAGTTCCAAATAATAGAACATATGTAGACAAACTCATAACTTTGGCCAATAACAATATAAGTTGTCAAATCATACATTTGTTTCTTACATTTTTACAGTGTTAAAATTGTAACACTTTTCTTACATTTTTAGTGTTAAAATTTAAGACTTTTTATAACAACAATTTTAAAGCATTAAAATTTGATTGATCAGTTTCTGTTTAAAAAAAAGAATATTACTTCAGATGCAAAATATTAAAACCGACTCTGAATTTTATGCCCTGCAATCAGAGGCACAAGTCTACAGCTGATCTTCAACTTTGTGATATTGTCATCCATCTCCTTAAAACACAAAGCACACAAAATTAGACATGAAATAAAGTCAGTCTTAAAAATTGAGTTAGCAAAATGCCATCTCAAAACTACAAATTACAGAAACACATCATTGAATCTACAGAAGTTGAGTCAGGACAAAAATAAAATCTGGGTTAGTGAGAATTTCAAGTTAAGGAAGTTGGCTTTGGCTTATCAAGAATCTATTCTATAATTCTGGAAAAATATTCCTAAATGTGTTTGGAAAATAGATATAATTTTTAGTTTATAAGATGGAGAATCCAAATTATTATGTAAAATTTATACAAGCAACTATAAAAAGAATCTTTAAAAGAAACTGTTTTGTTATATGAAATAAAAAAATTTATGTAAATTCCAGTGGCGTGCCGTCATTAGAAGCAGTGGATGCGCCGCTTCCCTTGTAGTTTCTAAAAAATAAATACACATTAATTTTAATTATATGAAAATAATCGCACAATATTTTATTATAACCGCATTATGTATCTTATTACAAATTTCTACACTANTATAATTTTAATTATTTAATTGCTCCTTCCTCTCTTCCTTAGCATGTTGTGAAATTTCTGATAGTTGGATAATAAACCGTTTTATTATAATTTGTCTTTTTAAATTATTTTGAGTTGATATTAAAATTTGGAAAAGGGGGATCCCTAGATCGGTAAAATAGGCGAATTTCCTCCTACAACTTCGGTTGTTGTTCGGGATATAGTTAAGGTTTTAACAAAGTTTGAGCGAATATATAATTAGCAAAAAAAAAAAAAGTTGAAATAGAGTGATTAAAGAAAAATTATTACAAATATCGTAAATAACAGTTCACAAATGCATATATAGAGATATTTTTTGGAGGGGGGAAATGGTCTTCACAATTTGAAATCAATAGAACACACAGTGAAATGCTTATATATATGTGTGCCATCTATCATAGGATAAATGTACTATGCCAGAAACCTTCGCAGGAGTATATTGAACAACTTCCCAAAGTTTCATGGCAATTGGATAAACAGTGTGGTAATGCATGAAGGACAGACAGACACACACTCATACATTCATTTTTATATATATATAGATAATTTCATTTGTTAAGACAATTGATAATAGCAACAGAGTATTTCAGAATTGAATTTCAGAAAAATTCAAAATTGCAAAAAATGAAATTAAAAACAGGATTCAAAATTTAATAACAAGGTAATTAGGAGTTGTCTTCAATTTACAATCTGTTTATCCCTCCTAGTTATAAAATATATTTAGTTCTATCAAGTTGCAGATATGTTTTCAGAAAAGACTGAAATGTTGATAATTACATCACCACCATCTGTCTTACCTTTTGTAAATATATCACCTATTTTCAATTTTTCTTTCATAACTTATTTACAATGTAAAATTTCATAAAATATAAACATTATATTGATCTGTTAATAAATTATAGGAGAATATATACTAAAATATAAACATGTATTCTTTATCATTTCTTCTTTGATTGAAGATGATGAATTTTTATTTCAACAAATATACTTGGAAATTAGACATTTTCACAGTCCCAGCAAAATTTTGCTTTATAATAATAATTTACAACCTACAGAGTTGCAACCAGCATGTGGAAAACTTTGTATGACATTATGTAAACATTACTCCTACTATGTATTTTTAATTTATTTAATGCATAGTTGTGCTGTGATTTGTTTGAATTATGTGGGAAACATATTGCAAATATTCAAATTTATTTTGTTCTAAACTTTGTATTTTTTTCTAATTTTTAAAACATTCTTTTGGCTAATTACATGAAGGTGTCAAGTATAAAATGGCCAAGAACATTTGTAAGTTGTATTAAACCAAAATTTTGCTGAAACTGTAAAAAGTTATAAAGGTTCATCAGTTTGCATTTTTTCTAAATGGAATTGCAGTATGGTTTAATGCAGATAAAATACAAACGTTTTTGATCTACACAGGAGATCAAAAACATTTGTATTTTATCTGCATTAAACTATACTGCAATTTCATTTATAAGGTTAATCTGACATACTTTATTCCAGTCTTAGTGTTTGAAACTGTAAAAAGTTGTTATACTCTGACCTTCCTGTTCCAGTTATCTTTGCAAGTATAAGAAAATATGTATTTTTATTTTTTGTTTGTTTTAAGTTAATTCAAGCATATTCATCCAAAAAAAGCAGTTATACTTGTCAAATCAAAATTGCAAGCATTATATACTCCACAAAGTTGCATATATATAACTACATTTTCTACATCATATATATAACTTATTAATGAAACACCAAGAGAAACTTATCAGAAATCAAGATGGATATCTTTCTGTTTGACCAAAAAAAAAACCTCTATTGTCAATGAAGCGGAATAGAATTTAACATTAGTAAATAATATAAAATAAATATTGAAAATTATAACGAGATAGTTACGGCTAATAGATATAATATATGTAAATAAATACATATATGTTTTTATCAAAGCAAGAACTGGCACTTAGAGGGCATATGGAATATATTGGATTTAATAACAGAGGTAATTATAAACTTGTTTATTAAGTACATCAGATAAATAATCTATTAAAAATACATTTAAAGAAAGAATTAACTGATTGCCCCTGGAAGTTGGCTTTCCCTACCATCAAATGTCACGGCACGCCACTGGTAAATTCTCAAATAATAAATATAGTAATAATAATTTGCATACTACAGGAATATGACAAAGTAACATAAAATTGAGTAAGTCTGTTTTTGCCCTAAAATTATCTTTTGATGTCTGAATCAGAAATAAAATAAGGTGTATTTATAGAAACTAATAAATATTAATATTAATAGAACTTATTATTATGGCAATCAAAATTTACATTTTCAATGTTCTTATATTAGCATCAACAATATTATTTTTTTAAGAGATTCATTAAAATATTTTATACTAATTTCATGAAATCATACCTCTGAAACTAAAGGATGTATTACTGTTGATAAACAAGTTGCACCTTTTTCAATTAATGGTTTTGTAGGAGATAATGGAGATAAAGGATTCTTTTGAGGAAGTGGATATCTTTCTTGCTCACGATTATCTCTAATATCATGTGGATCTTTCTCTCTCAAAATTTCTCTTACTTCTTGTTGAGTTTGTTCTCTAGATATTTCTACTTCTCTTTTTCGTTCATATTGCCTCAGTTCTCTTTGATTCATGATCTCTCTATGTTTTTGTTCAAATTCCTCTTTACCATCTTTTTCTCTATCTCTATATTTTTGCTGTTGTGGTGGCGGTGGTGGCGGTGCTGCACTTGTTGGTCTTACCTAAAATAAAATAATGAAGTATGTATTATTCAGAATATTTAAAAATTTGATACATAATAGAAAAGATAACTACTGTATTCCCATTTAGAAATCTTACTTATATTTTATTTTAAACTAGCTTACCCGTCGCGCATTGCTGCAATCTCAAAAGAAAGGAAATTCAAGCAAACTCGTTATGATAAAATTCAATTTACATTTTATCATTTTTATTGAAACTTATTATTATTCATTTTCATCAGAAAAACATTTCAAAGTGTTGTTTCAATTCTATTTATTTTTTGGAGTGCTTGTGGATACATAATATTTTTGGTTTTTCCATCTGGTGCATACATGAATAAATCAGAAGGTTTTCCGATGCGTGAGCTGGCCACATACAATTGTCTATGTGAAAAGCACGGATTCTTCAAATCTAGCCCACATACTTGCAGCAATTGTCAGAAGTGTGATATTCCCCATTTTTATATACAGTAGAACCTCTATTATCCGGACCTCCATTATCCGGATTTTCGATTATCCGGATTGTTCAAAATAAACAAAAATTTTACGAATTTGCTGATTTGCACTGGAATGCATAACTTTTTTTGTTTCAACAACGTCTCACCCAGCACAGTGGTCGTAAACTCTTAAATATATTTTACGTAGTAATAAAAAACTTGATATACGTATTTATAAATAATTTATATTCAAATTACATCATTTCTATGACCAAGGGCGGCGTAAGGCATGGACGACGTGGGCCACCGCCTATGCCTCGCGGTCCGAAGGGCCTCGCGCCT